GCGAACCACAGCTGCCACAGCGATGGTTCCGAATTTCAACGTGTGTATTGACTTTTATGTAGTAGTCCGAACCGACCCCATGCGTTCGTCAGTAGATTCGGTTTACCTGGTTTTGGAGTCATGTGCTTTTAACGTTGTTCATTCCAACTACAGTCCCAGGAAACTTGAGTAATGATAGTTTCGACAATTTTGGGCAAGGTGTAAATGAACCACCCTCATGCCACGCTTTGCTGTTTTCTATGAACGGAGATGTTTCTAAGTACGGAGACAAAAATGTCAAGAGTACAGTAGCAAATCACACACAAGTCAAGGAGATGTTACTAAGTACGATTCTAAGTACGGAGACAAAATGGTCAAGTGTAGCAAATATCACACAAGTCAAGGAGATGTTTCTAAGTCCGAAGACAGGTCGCTATAAAAAAGGATGGGAAGACCCTGTTATCCAGGAAGAAACAAAGCGGTAAATCAAGGGCTAGGTCTAGAGTTGGAGTCACAGCAAAATATTTTGAGGCATGCCTGTATTACAATATGTACATTTAGCGTATTCGGAAATGTACTTATACGGAAGTAAAACATTCATAGAAGTAAAATGGTTGAAAAGTTCTAGATATATATATATATATTAAATTTTTTTACATACAGTCATTGTATGTAGATTTCTCCCGTATGGAATGCAAACGAATGCCCGTGCCCTCGCCCTTGGGCATGCCCTTTGAGTTTGTGCCTCCAACCCTAGCTAGGCCCCAACAGCATCACTTGAAATCTCCACTGCCGAGGAACTGAGAATAAGGTGGAAATGTTTGTGCAATGTTAGCATTCTTGTAGAGGAACTTTACATAGCGAATCACCCTCGTACTGCGTAATGGAGTTTTCTGCCCAGGAATCTAGCTAAGGTGAGAAGCATGTAGACATGTGACTCTCGTTTCCTTTTGTAATGCTTTCATCAATTCCAGTGTACCTACTATCATTGCCCCACAAAATACCTACTGATCAATCTCATCCATTCTTTTCAACCTACTGCATCTCACACACCTATGTGTGGTACGTTTTTAACTAGTTAAAAATTTTATCCAATAAAATATTGTTCTAATTGTACAAGACCCATTTCTTGCACAATCACATATAATGTTATACCAATCAAATGAGTGATGCGTTCTTATTTCGATGACACTAGGATTCGGTAAACACGTTGATATCTTCATAAATAGAGAATATTCCGTAAGTTTATGATGGACACAATCTGCAAAAGTAAATGTTGCATGTAGGACAACTGTGCATGCAAGAACTTGATTCCTCTGTTAATCTTTCCTCAACAATATAGAAGTCAAGGTCTAGCTTGACTATCTTAGAACCGAAAAGTGAAAAGCCGAAGTTAATTGTTCTTGATGTCCTGACGCATCTGAAGAATATTTGATTATGCACAATTCTGGGTGACACTCATATTCACTATCCTGAATGTACTCAGTACATTCCAGTAAATATAACTCTTCACTGAAAACAGATTAAATGACAAATGTTCCCGACAGTGGATTTTTTAAAGTAGAGTTTAAAAGCGACCATAGAAGTCAAAATGAAAAACGAAACAAGAAGAACATTGCCAAATATAACACAAAAAATAAGAGTAAGAGGGTTTAGTGGCAGAAAAAACCCCATGACATAAACATATTTCCGTTGGAGTGTTGATGTCATCCTTTCAACAGCTACATTCTCCAAACTTCTATCTAATCTCCGTGAGATCCTAGACGAATGAGTGTATGAGTGCAATTCCATTTTTATGGAAAAATTTGAGTTTTACACAGTGCTAAAAGGAACATGGCAATAATTGGAACGTGGTTTAGTCTAAAGAGCTCATGTGGTCAAGGTGAATATCATCCAACATCAAGATGGACCATATCTAAGCATATCAGACATCCTAAATAATCGGGTCAGACCGGATTTTGAAATGAGTTAGTACCTAAAGGATTAATTTTTTTGGGGGTTTTGTCTCATAAGAGCCCAAGATCTAGATCTCAATATTATCATAGCACTAAATATGTATTCTTAATAATATGTAATATAATTAATAAGACAACGAAATCAAAATTTTTTAAAGCAACACAACATCCAAAAAATTAAAAGCATGACACTAGATTATGATGCAGATCAACTATACAATACATCTATATACATTTTACATTTGGGATTCTTATTTTTTAACGCAATAAAATATAATTAAAATCTCTTGTTCCAGGGACACAGTAAGGGTTGTGCTATTTTGCCCCGGTCGTCTCGCGGTTACAGGTGGTAAACTCTCGTCCGGAGACTCCGGCTGCGTTGCCAATACTGTACAGTACCTGTTGACAGCATGATGGGTCACCGATGATGTCGGGCATTCCAAGTCACTGCACCATCTGATGAAGAGGACACCTGCTGCTCTGCTCGCCCCCATCGACTACGTTCGATCCGTCTTCATAATTAGGCATCACGTGGATCATCAGGTGATGGTCTCAAATGCGATTCACGTCGTCATGATTTATTATTTTCTTGATAACAATGTCACATGCTTAAAGAATTCTGCAAGGGTGGGGGGTCCCGTCCCAAATGCTGGAAATTCTCCAACTTTGCTCTGAAGCTCCCTTGCTAATGCTACCGAAATCAAGTCCGACCTCGTGAATGCACCCAGATATTCTGGTTGTAGGAGGAGTAGAAATCTGTCAACTATGATCAGAAGTAGTGGAAAAAATGTCAGAAGTGCTCCAGTTTAGAAATATCTCGAGTCATTTAAAACAAGAGACTCCACCCCGCCACGCAACGAGTCCCCACGACAGGGACCCGCAGCCTCGAACCCGAGCCCCATGACAGGCCCGGACTCTACACCGCGACGGTTCACGAGTCTCCCACCGGAGAGAGAGAGAGCGGCGGTGCTACTCGGAATATGAACTCAGTCATAAAATTTAACTACGGTTGTTGAAGGAAAAGCCCCAACCCTCCCAGTCGGGAAGACGACTTCGGTCTCAGGGGGGAGAAGGTGATGGCATCATCTCCGCTGAACCCTAAGGGATCCAGGCAATGACACGGCATCCCACGCTCGGCCACACGACATTCCGATCTATCAATCCAATGATCTAAATCGTTTGCAGAAAATAGCGTACCCACATCCAAATATGTTGTTACTTGTCGTGGATTTTCACGAGGAAAGGAGCGACGACGCACGGGACTACATTGTCTATTGCGACGCGAATTACGAGAGAGGCTTACTTTGTTGGGTAACAGAACTCGAGATGGGGAACACAGAGTAAGAGATAGGGCAGGTCGGCTTTCCCCTATAGTCAAGAAAGGGAGACGCGCTTCGCTCTGACTGGGCGTATCTCTTTGTTGACTATAGGAACGAAGAGAGTGTCCAAGAAGGAGGAAGCGAAGAACACGGTTCCGTGACACGATTATCCAAATGTGATCTTTGGGAGACGGATGGGGTCAGCAGTGAACAAGAAACCAATCTTATCTTGTTCCTACACGCTCCCTCTGAACGCATAGTGGTCTTCCTGGAGCCTTCGTTGTGTTCACTTGCATGCGCCCCGATGTGCCAAACGTGGCTATTTCTATGGCCTCATTCTCTCGTCTCATTCCTAGTGTATGCATACTGATTGCTAGAGTCGACCATACGGTGCTGTCTCTTCTGTTTACGAAGCAACTATCTCTATTACTCCGAAAAAACATGTCGAATTTTCAGAACTTGACCATTAGCACATTGAAAGGCAAGAAAAGGTTGGTTTCAAAATGGGAATTTATCATTAATGTATTCCTATAACACTATAACAGTCTTAGAGTTTTATTGTTGTTGAGAAAGCAATCGTGTACATGCATATTAACTTTGTTGGTTGTTTCCATAAAAATCAAGACTAACGCAACTTCAGAATAATGAATTTTCTTTCTCCAAATATCTTTAAGTAACTGCCACTCAAAAATCTGACATCAGAGAAAAAATATAACACAAGCTATCAAACTAACACACCTTAAACTCCAAATGATTCAAGTTGATGCAATAGTTCCATCAGTCACATTATTATCAACTTACACTAGTGAAGAAATTCAAATTTCGTGATTATTTATGCTGAGCCATAACTACGTTCACTTACAAATTTGTGGTGAGGCAAATACAAATTGATAAAAACCATGTGATCTATGATCGGTAGCTGTGTTGAAAGACAAACCGCATGACTAACAAGACGGAATAAACTGTCCCGAAAAACATTGATCTAATGTAATGTTTCACGCAAGAAGAAGTATCGAATCTATGTTTTGCAATAGATATAACTACAAAGATCAACTTTATGAAACCATGTGAATGACCAGCATCAAAACTATATCTAACATGAACATGAACCACATCCGATTTACCCATCTCATAATTAACAAATCTAGAAGAAAGTGTAAGAATCTGCATTATAACAATACTAACAGGATAATAATCCATACCCGATGTACCCATCAAAACTTGCAAATCTCAAAGAAGTCTAATGATCTGCTTCAAAATGAAGTTAAAAACTTATAGAAAAGTCTGAAGAAAGTCATTGTGTTTGGAAGATTATTATAATAAGAACAAATTCAAAAATTGCAGATGTGATTCAATCATATCGGGCGCATCAACTAAGAAATATGGACCTATCTTCAAGTTAAGTTCTATGGGATGGCATTATTGAGCTCCATTTGAAATGACACCGCTTTGATATGATTGTTGGTGAATACTGAAAACAGATTATGACAACTGCAGTAGTACGTGGAGTAGTACATGGGTCGTAGAAGCTACCGACACTCATCTCTTACATTTATTTAACCAATTTCATGGAAATGTAATCTTAGAAAAGCCTATCCATTCGACATCTGTTCACATACTGTAACAAGATTACATACTTTCTGTATAAACTACCCAAATTCCAGTGTGGAGTCCCTGCATTCTGTCTGCATGTCAATGATAGATGAAGCCAGAGTAGAATGTGAACCCGCACGTGCTGTGGTTGCAGTTCCTGTCAAGACAAGTGCTTGACAATCGTGGCTGATTGATTGGCTACGATGGGAGAAGGAAACACTGGAGACATAAACGTGCAGCTTGGAACTTACTCGGCATTCTCAAACATCGTTGGTTACCGAAGAAATAGGTTCATACCTGAAGACCAGTTCTGGGGGGAGTCGAATCGCCTACTCTGCTTTTGACGTTTACGAATCACAGTGTGATCTTGTTTGCAACGGGACGAAGGTGTTGAAAAAATCGTCGTGCTGAGAAAGCGGGTGTGACGCGGTGGATCTGGCGGGCCAGAGCCTATTTTTTCTTAAGTGGAGTTGCGAGGAATGGGCTGCTGCCGCAACCGCAGGCAGGAGTCAGGAGCTGCAGGAAGGAAAGAGTCCCGAGTTGCCTCAGTGCGGTGTCGAATGCCCATCTGCTCATGTGCTTTTGGGAATTCTGTCGTATTGGTGTACTTATTCTCTTCGTCACAAGACCGAGTCCAAAGGCATCGACTTCTCACTTATGGACGGGTTTGTGGATCATAAATACCTCTGGCGCTTCCATTTGCCAAGTCCTCGGAGCCCAAAGACCTGGAGCTCCTGGATTCCTCCTTTTTCTTATGGGGGCCAAGTGGCTCTATACCTTCTCCTAGGACAGGAGATTTATACAGATAAAATCTTGTCAGATCTGTGCGCAGGGCGTTACAGCGATCAGAGAAAGACAGAAAAAAAATTGCTTGTCGACATTGTCGACAATAGGCGGAAGCGGATTTGGAAATTTCGAAATCGCACATTCGGATCAAAAGTCTGTCTCTAGAATATTCAGAGAAAATTTTGGGTGATAGAAATCGGGTGACCACACTGTTTCAAAAAATGATCTTGCATCCCATTCTTGGTTTGGCCTTTTTTCTCTTGATTCTGTCCGTGACAGTGCAAGGGGCAGTGATTGAATTCAATTGGACTGTAAATTATCTCCGATGGGCTCCAGATTGTGTAGATAAACTGGTAATTGCAATAAATGAAGGTTTCCCTGGGCCAACTATCAATGTAACGGAAGGGGATACGATCAAAGTGAACGTTCTGAACAAATTGCCCACAGAGGGTATTGTCATTCATTGGCATGGAATGCATCAGGTGAGCTTCCTCCGTTCTTCTTCTTCATGAAGAGCTGATGCAGCACAATTTTACCAGTTTTGCTGTTCTGTACGAACTATTGGTTCCTATAGTATGAAAGAGATCTGGCATCCGTGAGACTTTCTTGCATTGTCCTGTCCTCTGACGTATTCTACGCAGGTCTGCTTTGAGGAGAATTTGAACCATCACTGATGTCTGTTTACTTCTGTTCTCAGAAAGGAACGCCGTGGGCCGATGGTACAGCCTTCGTGTCTCAGTGTCCGATAGGGCCGGGCGAAGAATTCTTGTACGAATTCGTCGCTGCTCGGGTGCGTTTAAGAAATAGTGTCTGCTATTTTTGAAACTGCTTACCCGCTCATGCTCTAAATTTCGGTGACTTTCATGGAGTGCAACGAGCATCAGTCGGTCTTCTTATTCCAAGGTTTAGAATTGACTAGCATTCTGAGTACTGTATCGGTAATTTCTTCCTCAGGTTGGAACATACTTTTATCATGGTCATCATGGTATGCAACGGGCAGCAGGATTCTATGGTGCACTAAATGTACATCCAAGGAATCGGACGGTGGAACCTTTCAAATACGACAAGGAGTATACAATTTTGCTCAACGACTGGTGGCATAAATCTGTCCACGAACAGGAATATAACCTCCTGGCCGACAGTTTCAAATGGGTCGGAGAACCCCAGGTGAGAATCCATTCGTCCATTGCTTTCTAGCTTCGGAGTAGTCAGTAGTACAGTGGAAACTCGAGATCAAGATTTATGCGGGGCTTTTGCTCACTGATGCCCATTCTCTTGCTTATTTGTGTCCATCTTGCAGTCACTGCTCATCGGAGGTCGAGGGGCGTACAACTGCTCGAAGGTGCCAAACTTTCCAGGTGCGAGCAGTGATACCGGAGACTTCGTCAAATGTAACAGCTCCAGCCCTCAGTGCGTTCCTTTCAGCATTACGGTTGATCCCGGTAAAACATACAGACTGCGAATCTCCAGTGTCGCATCGTTGGCGGCGTTGAATTTTATTCTAGAGGTATTTTCTGAAATTCTTCGATCTCACTTCAAACATCATCAACTTCAAATCAGTAGACCTCTAGATAAATTCTATTTCAAATCGATCGTTTCAAAAGATCAATTTTAGAGGTTGATGAGTCCCTCGGAAATCTTTAGCTAATCAGTGCTCAGTACTAAAGACGATGAACACTAAGCGCAATTCCAATGGGAACGGAGTTTCTGAAGATGCATTTGAGGTTCCTGTCTTTCGAGTCGTCTTATGTCAGAATCTGACATTTTCTGCAAATTCAGGGTCATGTTATGACAGTAGTGGAGGTAGATGGACATTATGTGAAGCCAGTGGTGGTGGACAATCTGGACGTGTACTCGGGAGAGAGCTTCTCGGTGTTGTTCACAGCAGATCAGGATCCTTCGAGGAACTACTGGGCCGGAGTAAACGTCCGCGCCAGGCTTCCGTCAACACCTACGGGAGTGGCTGTATTGAGCTACAATCCCAACGACCCTGGCATGTTGCCCACCACGCCGCGACCTGTCAGTCCAGCCTGGAACGACTTTGCTCTGAGCATGAGCAAGGCGAAACAGTACGTCGCTCATCCTGATTTCAAGGAGCCCCTGCCACAAAAGGCCACGGACAGACACTTGTTCCTACTCAACCTCCAGAACACGTGGAAAAATGGCAGAAGGTGGTCCGCCAACAACATCTCGTTCGTTCCGACATCCACTCCGATTCTGGCCGCCTACAAATACAACTTGATGGGCGAAGCGCCTGCCTCTCCTCCTGATTCCTACCCGACCGACTACAACATCAGCGCCCCACCTCCCTTTCCGGAAGCTAATGAAGGACATGCCGCGTACGAGTTCAATCTGGGCGACGTCGTTGATGTGATAATTCAGAACGCGAATTCACTGACGGCGAGTAACAGCGAGATCCACCCTTGGCATTTGCACGGACATGATTTTTGGCTGCTGGGTTACGGAAATGGGAAATTCAATGTGTCCACTGATTACGCGACAATGGACACTTCACAAGCTCCCCGACGCAACACTGTCCCAGTTTTCCCGTGGGGTTGGACTGTGATCCGATTCGTAGCCGATAACCCCGGCCTTTGGCCGTTCCATTGTCACATCGAGCCGCATCTCCACATGGGCATGGGTGTCATTTTTGGTGAGGGTCTGAACCAGTTGCCAGATATGCCGAAGAGAACTTTGGGCTGTGGCCTTACTAAAGATAACTCGAACATTGGAATCTAGTTTAAACCCAATTTTCCCTTTCATAGTGTAACATAGCGTCAGTTATCTTAGTGTAATATTATATTGAGCAAATCCGATGGTGGTCCGGGCAGTTACAACGACACTGAGCATTGATTGGTGGAATTTTCTGTCAGGAATTTAGACGAAGCGTGCAGTTCGATATAGATATACATTCATTTCGTTTCTGCTCAGAATGCTTGTTGCAGTGAAGTTACCGGCGAAATGTAGAAACAACGCATCGAGTTTCGTTATCTCATGATTGACACGAAGAATCTACGTAGTGCAATGAGGGTTTTCGAATGTGTTTGCCCACAAAATCCTGGAAAATATAAGATGAAGAATCTTTATATAACTCTCACGCGTTTCACTTCTTTAGTATGTCAATTGTTGCTTTGACTCTCTGTCAGCTCACAGCTCTGTGTGTAACGAGAATTCCTCGAGAACATGAAATTAAGTGAATAGAATGTTTCTCCTATTCCTTTTGCACGTTTATCTGGGGAAAAGAAAGAGTAGAATGATTCAGGAGAGGGAAAGGTAATTCATTGTGGGACTAAGAAGTGAGAAAGTGGGTCTTGCCTTCAAAGAAAGTCTTATTATCTCCCAGTCTTCTTTCATAACCTTTGACCACGACTTTATCCGCCTGTTGCCACGAATTTCTAATGAAGTCGACATTATCAGTCTTCTACATCGACCAACAGCACATCGACCAACAGCTTTATTTGTGACATTTTTCTTTGACCGTGCGAGAATCTTAGATACACAAAACATTCACATTTATTCAAGTATCTTCTGACATTCATGTGATGTATCACTATATGATCCCCAATCTATTGATTGTTTTATTTATGTCAGTATTGCAATTTAAAATACCGGGAACTTAGGTAGTACTGAAAATTCCTCAAACCTCATGTTGAGAAAACTTGTTAGCAAAATAAGTATTGAATGTGATTTCTGTTTGAGAAATTTTAGCAGTGTCTCTTTCATTACAGTTGATGTTATTAATCTGATACATGGTTATTTCCTTAAAAAAACCAAACTTTCTATACTGCTTATGACAGATGCAAAAGATTGTGAGCAGTAATTGAAGCAAAAACCAAGCTAAATTTCATTTGGAAACTTCACAACATCTCATTCTCGTCTTGCTTTGTTTCAATAACATGTCATTATGATATAATTGGATAATAATAAATTTATTTAGAGATGCAGTTTATTTGCAAGGTTTGAATGTAAAGTTTACTCCATTGGTGAAAGTTAACAATATATATATATATATATATATTTGTAGTAAATAATCAAATTTTAGTCAAAATTTATTTTGAAAGGATCTACAGTCTTTTATGATTTTCATGATATAAATCTTAGTTTAAATATTAAAAAATTTAATAAATTTGAACAAGAATTATTATTTTATCTCACCATGATATACACATCTCATATTTTATTTAATTGAAATTTTTGAACTGCAATCTAGATAATTTGAGTCATCCAGATTTAAGCTTGTTCATTAATTACCAGTGAAAAGGTAAACATCTTTTGTAAAACCCAGAAGAAGATTGTATATCAATTGAAATTTTTATTCAAAATGTATGTACAGATCTTACAATTTTTTTTATTTTTAATGGGTATTTAAAAAAATAAAATAAAATTTGATTGTAGAGCTTTTCAAGATCCATGTTTCATTCTGTAGATTGATTTTGATCAGAGAATCAATTTAATCTTTAATTTTTTTACCACAGTTAACTCCACACGTTTTCCAATTAATTTTCTGTTTTACAAGATGTTTTTTTTATCTTTATCTTACTTTATTACTTTTTTTTTAGAATAGGAACACATACTATGCACAAAAATCCGGGAAATTTGGAAATCAATTGAAAAATATGTGGTAATTTTGTGGAAAAATACCATCACATTTGGGGATTAGAAAAAGTTAATATTACAAAGGTGAATCTCTTTGATAATTGTCTTTTCCCAAAGCAGTCAGTGTAAAGTTACCACTAAGCTTTGGACCGATATGTTTAATAGACAGTAACATCATATGAAATTTGATTTAACTCAAATTCTAAAGCAGGTATACTGATTATCAGTGTAACGGCTTTACTACACAGACCCGGGCCATTTCTGTCAGCATCCTCAGCTGGAGTAGTCATATCTGCAGTTTCTAATGCTTCAGGTTCATGAATTGTATGCGTGAGTACAACCTCCTCAGGAGAAAGCTCTTCGCCATTGTATCGTCTATGGATTGTGAACTCGTATAAGGTCATTAATGTTTCCACAAACATTGTAGGTATTTCTACATATTGCACCACAGCGGCCGTAAGCACAACGAGAATACATGTATATGACCACCACGAGAAGGAGGAAGGAGGTCTGTCACCTCCATATCGTGTGTATCCGACTTCACCTGATGGTCCATTGGCTCGCGGATCCTGAGTTGGTGAACCTGCGATTTGATCTATCTCAAGCAGCAGTAGTCTGGACGAAGTGACTCATTGCAGATATGATCGTACATCCTGCAAGGGTTGTTGACCATGATAAGGTCGAATTATTGTAACCCATTCTTCTCCTCGATTACAGAAAAATTTGCAATAATGTGATCTCTGTAAAGTAAAATGATAAAAGCCAATACATAATCTTCAAATACACTCTGGATTTATCACCCTCTTGCTTCCTTATACCTGCCACACAAGGCTTCGAACCAAATTTTCCTTCCGGATTTCACGAGCAAAATAAGTTATTTTCAAACTTATTCTTAGAAAGATTTGTATAAGTGGATAAACCACCGTTCTTGCTATGCCGTTATGCTCAGATGGATAATAGTATCGTCTTCATCTTTGGCTGAACAGCTGCCCGATGGGCACATAAGCTTCCGAAAGAATGAGCCCGGGATTGCATACGTATTGCACACCCTCTGATGTGAAGGAAGTGCTGCATGCACCATGGGCGCACGAGATTACCATAGCAGCCACCAAGCTGAGAATAAAAACCTCCTTGCTCGAGCTCGCCATGGCCTGTCATGGGCTCGTTATCACTGTTTTTTGATAGAACAAAACTAAGTATTGAGGTAGGTACAATCTCTCATTAAAATCTTATTAAGTTCATCTGGATCTTTTGTATATCTCTTGACACTAACAAGTAAAAATCTGAATGTCGCTATCCAGACGCAGAGACCCATAAACTTTGCATATGGGTCACTGAGTTTCTTTGAGTCCAATACTGAGATTACTGACCCATAAACGATTGGTTATTCATGAAAATTTAACGCTATTGACCTTTCTTCAACTTTAACCACAATCAATATGTTCTATACCGTCTACGGCTGCTGGAAGTAACATAAAAAACTTGGGCTGAAACTGTGAAGATTTTCGTGTTTTTCGGTTACCGATATGAAATTCTTGGTAGAAATCTTGTCATCTAAGTTTCATTTGCAAAATATTCACGAAGTATTCAGATTGATTCGAGCTAAGACAGAAGCATCTTGAGAAATTGCGAAAACTTCTCAAATATTATGTGTAAACCGGTAACAGATCCTAATCCCATCGCTCCCAAGGAGTTGCTATTCGCCATTTAAACTGCAGTTTTGATACTATACTTGTCTCAATCGGTTATCCAAGATGTTATTTCTTCTCATCATGGTCAAGAATATGCATTCACCAATTTCTGGGGGAAATCCAAATACAATTACACACTTGCTTCCTCATCATCATCGTGAATAGTGTTTGGTCCTACGCACACCAAGAGAATCATCAGCCAAAACGCTTTTTCCACAGTACAGAATTTCAGATGGTACTTAGCATTTGCAGCATCTTGCACTCTTTTCTGATCGCTGTGAAGAATCCTGAGGCATCTGTAATCCTGTGGACTGCGAGCAATACAGTCCCAGGATTTTGGAGCTCCTTCAGAATTTGATGAATGTGGAGAACATATTCTTGATGTTGTGGGGAGAAGAAACATCCTAAATGCCAAGAGCGAAAATAGAATGAAAATTGCAGCTTCAAGGTCGACTCCTTGGCAACAAGGGGATTAGAATCGAAAGCCGGAGAATCTATCTGGAGGTTTGTGAGTACTGCAAATGGCTTCCCATTTGCACGCCAGATGACAAAACTTCCAAAAACACAAAAAATGCCAAAGGGATTACGAGGATCATAACCTACTGTAGAACATATTGATATTTTTTAAGTTGAAAAAAATTTCAATATCTCTAGTTTTGATTTAGTCATCCATATTTTATGGATAACTTATCTCGATACGGTGCATGCAGAAACGCTCAGGGGTCACGGAATGAAAACTAAGAATATTTATTTTCGTTCAACGTTTACAAAAATGGTAAACTCTTGTACACCAGCAAATGTCTTCGCTATTACACGACTCATTAGCTGTTCCATTATATACAAGTGTGCATGAATTCTTCCTTTTGTAGCTGCATCTGACCTCATTGCCCCACCGAAGCCGAGGGCTCGGCAATCTCTGGCAAAGATAGTTCAATGGCTTTCATCTTCAATCTAGCCTGTTGGGTCTCCAAACTCATAAGTTGTGCTTAATTTCTCTAATCAGTCTTTTTGATGGAAGATCTTGGCGAGTTTTGCTCCACGATGTCCTTCTGCATCTTTGTCACAAACGCTGGTATTTCTTGAAAGTCCAAAGGTGAACTTCCAAGATTATCTTGGAAGAACTCCAAGGTTTTGCCGGCGTGGAAGATTTGACTTTGTCGCTAAGATCACTCTTGCTACTGGTGCATTCATTTTCTTATTGAGATGGTATCGTTTAAAATTTAAGGGGATCTCAACCACTTGCTCTAAATGTAGAATTGACCCAGAAAGAAAAATTAGTCCACTGTCATCTTTGTGAGCCTAAACTCCCCACCCTTCAGCGTTTGTAGTCCAGGTGGGGGTTCGAGCTTCCATAATCTAACTTCTCTGATCTCAACCATGTGGTCAATGTGTATTCAAGACAATGAGATCATAAACACTTGCTCTCTCACAAACAAATTATCCAGAACTGAAAATAATAACTTGCTGTCTGCTATCTCCACAAGAGCAGCAGACAAGCTCTTTGTTACATAAAGATCTAACCCAACTCTGGATGACTTCTCAATACCACAGCCGCTGTGGTCTATCCTAGCTCCGAGTTCCACTCCCAATTCTTACTCGGATTTCAATGTCGATTTCTCAGCTTCCACCTTCAGACCCCACCAGATTCCTCTCTCAGATGCAACTTTCCCTTTTCAGTTTCAATTTCAGATCCCGACTGTCAGATTTCAGTCTCAGATTTCGCTTCACTCTCAGCTCCCATTCTCAGGTCTTCCACTCGGATTTCAGTTCCCACTC